GTACTGGTCTAAAATCAGAGAACAACATTCAGATATAATTCAACTAACCCTTAATAGATTGTTTCTTTCTTTATAAGAACTCTACATGGGGTGATTTTTAATTTTGAATAAATTGGAGTCTCTGTACTGGAGCCTCTGGACCATATCTGTCCTACTGGAGCCTTTAGAAGCATTTTAATGCAATTATGAGACTAATAATTTGTTTACTGTGCGCGTAAATGTGCTCACAGACTGTCCAAGATGTCTGTGCTTCAGTGTTGGTGAGTGAAGTTGGAGTGTTTCCTAAGTCAGTTATTTAATTCAGCATTTAGAAGGTATCAGTGTGACACACCCACACACACATGCAGATAACACCAACTGAAAAAGGGAGGACTGTACTCTCTTGTTCAAATATTTGCCTCAGGGGGAAAAAAGAAAGAATTTATCTGCTGTACAGTTTCTTTTCTAACACTGACTGAATATGCAGAGTCCAAAACCAATCTGTGCCGTCAAGTGATTAAGTCCATCTTTTACATACAGTCTATGATGAAGCCTGAGCCCACCTGGGTCAGGAACATTTACAGTTAGCAGAAGCATCATGTAGCCTGGCTGTAGTGGAGACTAAGCTGTGAGGTTTTTTTTAACCAAATCCTCTCTTTAGGAAAATTCTTGTTGTGTCATGTCAGGGACAGAAACCCAACACATGTGACAGATCTGATGATGCGGTCAGTCAGTCATGACTGGACTGATCTTCCAGGCGCTCCTTTCATGGGTCGCCACAGCAGATCACCTGCCTCCCTCTCACCTCATCCCAAGATCTTCCTCCGTCACGCCAACCCTCTGCATGTCCTCCTTCACTACATCCATTAACCTCCTCTGAGGTCCAAAATGTCTTAGCCTCACTTCTCCAACTTTGTCTCCTAACCTGCTGGATATGAGCGGCCCCTCAGATGCACTCGTTTCTAATCCTGTACATTCTGGTCACTTCCGTCTGGATCACAAAAATGACATTCCCATGCTGGATTGATCGATAACGTGGGCTGCTCTGCTATCAGGCCCAGAGACAGTGCTGTGATTTCTCCCAGCGTCTCGATTCCAAACACTAACAACACCTTTTTTCAAGCACTGCACAGCTGGACCGCAGCCAGCTATATGCACTTTTAATTACCAGCCTATCTTTTGGCAGGTTTGGCAGCTGATCAGCAGAAATTAGACAGTAGTTTCTGCAGGAACATCTGGATCCCCTCACACAAACACTGACATCAGTGGTCTCAGTTTGGACCCAACAATTCTTTGGCGCTGCTGAATCCCAGACATTGTAATTAGTCTGGAACATATTTCACATTTTCAGTACACACGGACAGGTTTACAGTAAGCTCTGTCATACCTGTCATAACACAAACATTTTCGGTTGCATTTTTACATGAATGCCGAGCTCAGTTTG